AAGCCTCATGTTAGTTTCAAGCTGCCTGGCTGCCGGCCGCCATCTTGGCTGGCAGTTAATTTGCATATCTTGCTGATTAGCCAATGAAAAGGGTAGCGGTCGTACGCCAATTACCATGTTTCTCTTTTATTAGTGTAGATAATAAAAGGGTAATATGCAAATTGACCCTAACAGCAGAAAGACTGGGAATGACTGGTCACTATGACACACGTTGACCACCAGGGGGCAGACGCTCAATGCAGGAGCTGCCCCTGGTGGTCAATGCGCTCCCACAGGGGGAGCTCTGCTCAGCCACAAGCCAGGCTGATGGCTGCCAGCACAGTGGTAGTGGCGGGAGCCTCTCCTGCCTCCTCAGCAGCGCTAAGGATGTCCGACTGCAGCTTAGGCCTGCTCTCTGCTGGCAAGTAGACATCCTCCGAGGGTTCCCGGGCTGCCAGAGGGATGTCTGACTGCCAGCTTAGGCCTGATCCCCCGGGGAGTGGGCCTAAGCCAGCAGGAGGACATCCCCCAAGGGGTCCCAGACTGCAAGAGGGCACAGGCCAGGCTGAGGGACCCCCCGAGTGCACAAATTTTTGTGCACCAGGCCTCTAGTCTATCTAATAAAAGGCTAATATGCAAATTGTCCCCTTGACTGGGAGTTCAACCAGGAGGTCGACCAGGGGGCAGGGCTGGCCGGCCAACCTCCCTTCAGCCCCTCCCCTTGGCCTGACCCACCCCCGATCGGCCCTTGCCACCCCGACTGGGGTGGGGCGGGGCCGGCCCACCAAATGCCTGTGGCCCCTCCTCCCAGCTGGGCCCACCCCCAACTGGCCTCCCCTACCCTGATCGGGGGTGGGGTTGGCCGGCCAACCTCCTGCATCCCCTCTCCCCAGCTGGACCCCACCTGTGCACGAATTCGTGAACCAGGCCTCTAGTCAATGATAAGAGAAAATCATTGATTGGCTGCCCACTGGTGATGGAGCCTGAACCTCGGCATGTGCCCTGACTGGGAATCAAACCATGACTTCCTGATTCATGGGTCAATGCTCAACCACTGAGCCACTCCAGCTGGGCAAGGATATGTTTTATTTATTTATTTATTTATGTATGTATGTATGTACGTATGTTAATCCTCAATGGAGAAAATTTTTCTCACTGATTCTAGAGAGTGGCAGGGAGAGGGTAGAGGAAGGGAGGGAGAGAGAGAGAGAGAAATATCAATGTGAGAAACATTGATCAGTTGCCTCCCTGACCTGGGATCAAACCTGCAAACCAGTAAGTGCCCTGACTGGGAATCAAACTTTTTGGTGTACAGGACAACGCTCCAACAAATTAAGCCACCCAGACACAATTTTTAAACAAGCACCCACAAGAATGGTTAAACTAGGTAGTCAAATATAACACAAAGAATCCTATATAATAAAAGGCTAATATGCAAATTGTCGCCTCGGGAGTTTGATTGACCGGGAGTTCGCTCGCTATGATGTGTGCTGACCACCAGGGGGTGGCACAGAACAAAGGAAGGCCCCGGCAGGCAACTGGAAGGCCCCAATCGGCCTTGATTGCCAGCAAAGCCTAGGGACCCTACCTGTGCATGAATTTCATGCAGCGGGCCTCTAGTATCCTAATAAAAGGAATTCTTACTATAGAGATTTGGGGAGAATAAACTCCAATATAAGATGAATTCAAGGAAAATAGAGCTGTAAGTTAAGGAGTTAGAATAGGAACAGAAATAAAGATAAGGTAAGGACAAACTGTTAGAATTTACAAAAGATCTGTATAATTAATAATTCAGAAAAATCAAAAGGGCTTTTTATAACTAGACCTTTTAAGTTGGGAAGAATGTATGTAATAAGAAGAGAATTTAATCAAGATATGTGAGTTAAGATATTTAAAAAAATAACACCTCAAGCACAAAGCCATATTACACCAAACTGGGAATAAAGATCAGTATTTACTCCACAAATTACATTCTCTTCTCTGAATCAATATAAAACTGTCTTCAGCACTTTGATCTCCCGAGAGGACTCCTATGAAAGCTCTGAACAGATTCCCCCTTAAAAAGGGGCAGGGGAGGCATTCCATGGGAGTAGAAATATAGGAACTGATACAATTAATTTTATCAACAATTCTTAAAATATGGATACTGTCTATAAAACACATTATTAAATAAGATTTTTGTTTGAAATAGATTGCAAAAGGTGTCAAATTTAAAAAGCACATTTCAGAAGAATTATGTCAGAAAAAATCTAGTTGTTTTAAAATATACAGAAAATAGGAAGATTAGTAGGGGAAACAGCATAAAAAAAGAATCTCACTTTTATTTCTAAATCCACGTTTACTGTTTAAATGTTTTATGACAATCATGTATTACTTTTATAATTAAAAAAATAAAAGAATGGCCCTAGCCAGTTTGGCTCAGTGAACAGATCTTTAGCCCTTGGCTGAAGAGTCCCAGTTCAATTCTGGTCAAGGGCACATACCTCTGTTGCAGGCTCCTCCCCAGCCCAACCCTTGGTCAGGACGTAAGCAAGAGGCAACCAATCAATGTGTTTCTCTCACATCGATGTTTCTATCTGTCTTTCCCTCTCTCTTCCACTTTCTCTGAAAATCAATGGAAAAATATCCTTGGGTGAGGAATACAAAATAATAAAAGAATGAATGGGAATTTGCATTAAGTTATTCAGTAATGTGTCACTTTCAGGATCTACAACGTAGATCCTATGATTCAATCATAGGATCTACAACGTAGATCCTATGATTCAATCATCCTTTGCTGACTACAGTTCTGAGATACCAAAAAAAAAAAATTATTTCTGTTGCCTAAAACAAGAACACAGCACCTCTGTTCCCTACTTCCACAGAAGAGGTGAGTAGGTCTATGGGAAAAACACCTCGTGAGAAGATTTAGTTCTGCTTTCTCATTTCGATGTATGACTGCAGACCAAGCCCAGAAAAACAAAACAGGATTCGTCTGTGAAAAGGCAGTATAAGACTTGTTAATACAAAACAAGGGAGAATGGTAAGACTACAACACATGACGTTTCGGGTCCACTGTGGCTGTTTGAAACGCTCTCCAAAAGAAGTGCAGTTTGTATAACATAAAACTTGTGGGAGAATCTGCCCCAGCTATGTTTCCTGAATACCTAAAGAAGCCGATTCAGGAGAGGGGTTACTGCAGTAGGTTTTTAAAGATAAAGACTGGTTTGTTTGAGAAATGGATACCCTCCAGAGAATAGAACTTTCATCTGTGTTTTAAAAATAGGCTTAATGCCATTTTCATTGTTTCCCCCAACTCCCTCTTATCCATGAGACTTTGATCTTGACAACTGCATTTTGCTAACTATAGTATTTTTCAGGAACATAGCTCCCAAGGTGGACAAAGGATTTGTGTTTAAGAGATACTATAAAACACTTTAAAGTCAGAAAGATCCGGGTTCAAATCCTAACTTCAATTTCAAGCTACATTACCATGAGCAAGTTAGCTACCTTGATCTCTGAATTCAATGGAGACACTGTAATGAGCAAAGTATTCTGTGCACAGAAAACCCCGGTCAAACGAGAGCTATGCTTTTTATAAAGACCTCTGACAAGAGTAGAGTGTAGGGTTTGGGAAGGGGGCAGAGGGGCAGAAAGAAATACCTGAAGTGTTCCTGTAATTTCACTGGGACTAGATGTTTGGTATTCTAATTTGTTAAAGATAGATTCCAACAGCCCATGCAGAATATAAGTGCATTTGACAGAATACAGCTAAGTTAGGATTTATACCGTAAGCTATTTTTAAAACTGCGTGCTTAGCAAATTAAGCCAGCTGTGAAAATATCCTGGTTTCCATTCACAACAAATATGAGATGAACATTCTCCTTTAATGAACCTGGCCATGTGGCAGCATAGCTATTCTGCATAATTCATTCCTAAGGGCTGCAAGACATAATTTTCCTAAGACAGACCAAAACTAAAAACTATTTTCTAGAAACTAAAAAAGTCGAAGGAATGCAATTTCTCTACAGATTTTCAGTAAATTCCATGAATCACTGAACCATTCAAGTTAGGAGACTACTGTCTGAATAAATAATAGTAGTGATATCAGTCCTATTAACTATCTTTTTAAAAAATATATTTTTATTTATTTCAGAGAGGAAGGGAGAGGGAGAGAGAGAGAGAAACATCAATGATGAGAGAGCATCACTGATCGGCTGCCTCCTGCATGCCCCTAACTGGGGATCAAGCCTGCAACCCAGGCATGTGCCCCTGACCAGAATCAAACCTGAGACCCTCAGTCCACAGGTCGATGCTCTATTCACTGAGCCAAATCGGCAGGGCTTAACTATCTTTTTCTTTAACAGGACATATGAAACACCAGTATGCTCTGAAACACAAATTTTCAAGGTCTGTGACAGAGGGCAAAAAAACCCACTCATTACCACCAAAAGCTACCCAGAGGACTCCCAATTTCAGATTTAAAACTTAATCACTTTTAAATCAGGAAGGAAGAGATCCTGAATTATTCAGAATTATTTGGCTAAGCTACATTATTTATAAATCCTATTCCTAGGGAAACAATTTGTGATTTAAACAAAGATCAGAAGTATAAATAACTCAATGGAAAAGAATTTCAGGAAGTACTATTCAAATAAATTCACACTTGGAATGCAAGAAAACAGCCTATTAATTTCATCACTTCATAAAGGCACTGCTAAGAAAAGGATATACAATTTTGTGCTTTCTTTGGAAATCAACCCGACTGAATTAGTTCCATTTGGAACATCCTCTTAAAGCCTTTGCTAAAGTGTAACATAAATTCCGATTACTCAAGTATGAAAAACTACAAAGCCAACTTTCTTGTCCCTCCAGTTAGTGTGTCTATAAATAGAAGCAATGCATTAACAGCAGCCAAAGCAACTGGTGAGTTCCACAATGTGCCCAACATATACATGCCTGCAAACATGCTCTCAGCATGTTTAACCAAAGTGCTTTTGAAGATCTGTAATAAGACCCTTTTTAAATAAAGTGTGACTCACTGTTTGCTTTCTTCACCAGGAGGTGGAGTCTTGCCATGCCCTTCCATTACAAAATCCTCCTGTTCCACCTGCAAAGGCAAGCACCACAGGTCAGCAGCAGCCAGTCACTATGGTGTAACTCACTCTGAAGTGCCAGAGCTGCCCTTGCAGACCACATCGGACCAGACAGCTTTGTTGAGCCTGATGTCAGTGCACACATCTGAAGTCCCCATCTCCTTCAGGGCAAATGCCTGCATCTCTCTGAGTGCCCCAGGGGCACGCTTCTTGAAACCCACTCTATGGATGAGCTTGAGTGTTGATGGTGTATTCTCCCTCATTGTCACTACTGTGCTGATGATAGAATGGCCCTTCTTCTCACCACCCTTCTTATGCTGGACCCCAGTTGGAAAGCCAGCTTTCGACTTTTATTCTTCTCTAAGAACTTCTTATTGGGCACCTTACGGGGCTTTGTCAAGGAGAGGGAGGCTGCTCCTATCCTAAGTTTACTTAGTGATCTAAAACTTCTGGAAAAAGAGTTAAAATGTTGCAAGAGAACCTTATGAAAAGCTAGAGATGATCTTGATCTGAGTTCTGGTTATAAGAATGCACACATTCATGAAAAAAAATCACTGAACTATGCATTTTATGCACTGAATTGTATGAATGTCAGACTTTAGTTAGAAAATAAGTGACAAATTGTTTAAATGTATTAAATTACTTGAAACCTAAATCATTTCCTCAAAGACAAAAATGACTTTTCAAATTATACTGTATTATAAAATTTTCTTGCTCCCTCATCTTTAACAATCCTCTCCAATTAAAGAGCTCTAAATTGTGAACCTTAGCCTCTGCTTATTAGTTTAAACAAACAAACAAAAGGCTTATCTATACTTAATTTCTAATTAGCATAATAATGATGAGAAGAAATAATTTTAAAAGCCTACAGCTTCAATAACCTCCCTATACTGGCTTCCAAATTTTTAACTCCAGCCTTCTTTTGCATACAAGTCTTCTCCACTTGGATGGTTTAACAGGGCCATAACAAAACACCATCTTGCCTCAAATTTCCTCTCCTTTTTATATCCCTTTTCTCTGTGACTAGTGCCAGCATTCACTAAGATCCCCAACAGGAAACGTATAATCATACAAGATTCTCCAAGCTTCCTTAACCCCACACATCCTATTAATCACCAAGTACCATGGCTTCTATCTCCTAAATAGCTCTCATCTCCATCACCCCTTCTAATCCCTTTTCACTGCCATAGTTAAAGCCAGCTTCTCTAAATCTCACTGGTCTTTGTGCTTCTGAGTCCCATCTCATTTCAATCCATCTTCTAAACCACTTTCATGAAGTGGACTTGGTAAATTGCAAATCTGATTACATCACTCTCCTTGAAATTATTCAATGGCACTCTATCACCTATCCTGAGGGATAGTTCAATTCATTTGCCTAAGTGATCTTTTTTTATCTGCCCTGCTTCATTCACCCATGAAGCACACACAAACTCCTCACCCTCTCTGCCTTTACATATAATGTTCCATCTTGCTTGGAAGCCCTGGTCTTCCACAACATGTATACTTTAAATTCCCACTCATTCCTTAAAGTGCCAATTTAAATTTTTCCCAGAAGGCACTATCTCCTTCACCAGGATTCATACCTTTTCTTCATCTCCATCATCTCATAAGGCAATAAACAGTTCAAAAAGATCACTGCTCCTTATTGCCACTTCCTGCTTTCCTCAAGTCCATGCCCAGTCTCTCTGCATCCTAACTTATTCTTTCTACAAATTTCTTGAACATTTCTGGACTTAATTTGATTACCTCCACCATTCCTCCCCATTGACCACATCTTCAGAAGTTTCAGTATATTTATTCATAAAACTTACACCATATCCTCACCTTTCTTCCACTATTATTAATTCACCAACATATTACATGCTAGGTGCTGTGCTGAGATAATAGTGAAGAAGACAGTTTTTGCCATTAAAAAAAAACCTTACAGATTAGTGGTAAAGACAAACAAAGCCAGTCACTTACAATACAGTGTGAGAAAGCAATGAAACAACAGGAAGCACACTTAACTCTCTAAAGAAATCTGATCCTCTCTGTCTTAGGTGACCATCTCTTTCCTGCTTCAGTTGGGAATGGGCAGGACCCAAGGCTGAGCCTCACCATCAGTCTGTACTGCTGCACACCCAGGTCTATGAACTCTGAAATCCGTCTCAGACCACAAGCGCCTCTTCCACTCCCTCCCTCCGTGTGAACCTGCAAGGAGTCCTCATAGTAACATCCAGTCCAGCCGTGGGCAAACTACGGCCCGCGGGCTGGATCCCATTTGAAATGAATAAAACTAAAAAAAAAAAAAGACCGTACCCTTTTATGTAATGATGTTTACTTTGAATTTATATTAGTTCATTCAAACACTCCATCCATGCTTTTGTTCCGCCACCCCCCCCCCCTCCAGTTTAAGAACCCATTGTGGCCCTCGAGTCAAAAATTTGCCCACCCCTGATCTAGTCTATAGTTCTTTTTCCTCAGATTCCTTTCAGAGCCTCACTTGATAGACACAGTATAATCAAAGTTCTTTTTTTGTGCATTTTTTTTGTTTTCCCTGGAACTAACAATTACTATTTCCTCTTTTTTTACTTTCTCTCCATATTTCTGACTTAGTATTTATTATGTATTTTTCACCAATTCATCCTCAAACTTTCCAACAGAGCTGTAAGTCACCTTTATCTCAGTTCAAACACTTCAAATAATCTATCAATTTCATTCCAGGCCTGGAGACCATCCTCAGGGGTTTTCCCTTATTCCCATCTAGATTGTTTGCTAATTAGCTGACACCTTGCCAGGGATGTCTATTCCCCTTCACCTCTGGAATTCCCTGCTCTCTTTCCTATATTGGAGCAGCTGTTTCCCAGATCCTTTGTCTTTCTTTTATGGTTACTCCCTCAATGAGGTGGAATGAATATTATTTAGTCTAATTGATTCTAAACTGATAAACTATTACAATAATTTAAAAATCAAGAAAGCCAGTCTTTTCCTTTTTTCTCAGAAAGAAGGTGGAAACTAAGTTTATGACACAATAAAACATTCTATGTTGGTCTAATTACATGCTCACCAAGTTCCAATTACAACTTAGCTTTTCAGGGAGAGAATGTATTAACCAGAAGATCCACGAGTCCAGTCTTTCTTAACATTATAGTTCATTATAAGTTAATAAATTAGGAACTTCAGAAATCCTGAGGTCTGTGTATCTTGAGTGTCCTGAGTGTCCGTGGCTCTGTGTGTCTGGGGGACATTCCTTAGAGTATGTGTGTATCCCAGATTCTGACTAACCCTGAATGAGATTCAGGATCTAGATGAATCTGATGAAAGTCTATTGGCTTCTGCTTTTAAAAAAATTAATTAATTAATTATCTTCCTTCTGGTGAGATGGGAATAAAACAAACAAGAGGACAGGATGATATCTATTCCTCTCCCTAACCTATGGACTGTAGAGAAGGGAGATTCAGAAAGAAGCTGAAAGAGCTGTTTTCATGAGAGACCCTAACTTGGGGCTCAAACAGTACTTCTGCGAAGCCCAGCCCACAAAGTACAACAGGGCAGAGAAGGGGGTGGCCTCTCCAAACTCAGTGAAACCCTGCATGAGGCCAATGGGCAGCCAGGACTGGTCTGATGGGAATTCACAGATATGGTGGAATCTCGTTTCTTGAACTTAATTCACTCCGGAAGGTTGTTTGAAACCGAATCACTTTTCCCCATTAAACTGAATTAATCCATTCCAGACCTCCAAGTGATTCCCTGTTTTAACCTTTCTTTTATATAGTACATGTTTAATGTATATTTAATCTATAAATGAACACTTAAAACAAAAAAAACAAAAAGGACATGAAATATAAATGAAAATTTAACAAAAAGGGAAGGAAATGTACAGTAAAAAATGGAAATTTAATAATTATAAGCAGCAACTAAAGCAAAAAACCATGAAAATATTCACAGCACAATATACTGTGATTTTAACACTGATAAATTGACTCATACTTGCACATTCTCTCCTTTGTTTGTCATCTGAGACATGTGACTGATCATACAGGTATCAGCATGAAAGGGTTGTCAGGTTGAGAAGTGAATTGTTTGAGATGGGAGACATTCAAGAATCAAGGTTTGACTGTATTTTTTTCCTGTCTTTACGAAAATAATAATTTACTGATGTGCCCCAACCAGTTTAGCTCAGTGGATAGAGTGTCAGCCTGGGACTGAAGGATCCCGGGTTTGATTCTGGTCAAGGGCATCTACCTCGGTTGCAGGCTCGTTCGCATGCAGAAGGCAACCAATCGATGTGTCTTTCTCACATTGGTGTTTCTCCCTGTCTCTCCCACTCCCTTCTACTCTCTCTAAAATTCAATGGAAAATTATCCTTGAGTGAGGATTAACAAAAAAACAATAATTTACTGATGTGAAATTCACATAACATAAAATTAACCATTATAAGTTGAACAATTCAGTGGCATTTGGTATATTCACAATGTTGTACAACTACCATCTCTATCAAGTTCCAAAACATTTCCATCACCCCAACTAGAAACCCTGTACCTAGTAAGTACTTATTTCTCATTTTCTCATCTCCCCAAAACAACCCAACTAACATCAGGCTGTGTTTTATCTCAATGTATTTATCTATTCTGCATATTTCATATAAATGGAACCACACAAAATGACCTTTTGTGCCTGGCATCTTCCACACAACATGATGTTTTGACCATTCCCAGTGACATTTCGACACCTCTCCACTTTTACTCCGGTGAAGGAATAAGCCTTTCCACAGAGACTACCAGCAGCAGGGGAGGCAAAAAAAGGAATCCCCTTAGGAGGGCCCAGGGCAGCTGATAATGCTATCGTGCTGGGCACTGGCCTGGACACAGTGTGAGACACCCTTGGAACTTCCAGGAGGGACTAGAGACAACACTGAAAGGAGGAGGAGGGAGGTGAAGTGAGGGTGCTACTGAGGGTCCCATATGGCCAAACAGAGAAAGAGCCAAGCAGATTCAGGGCACAGGCAGATCATACAGTTATACATAAATACGCAGATAACTATCTATAGACAGGGTTTGACAGTGATAACAGTCACTTAAGCTTTAGCTTGAAAAACCAAACCAATGGCATGACAGAGACAGTGATGAGGGTTGGACAGAATATGAATTTGGAATCTATACCCGTGGAGTCTCAGTGTCTTTCAAACGACTTTCAAAATAATTTATTTTGGCAATAAATAAATAAATTTAATAAAACAAGCTACTACTTAAGATTTTATAATAAAAAATGTTTAAAAAGTAATCAGTGATGCCTCTGTGCAACAGGAATAAGAGACAGGCTTTTACTTTTTACTGTGCACACTTTTGATTTGTTTTAATTTTTCAAATAAGTATATATATATATATAACTTGCATAACAAAACATTAAAAGGCAAAGTGAAATTTGTTTTAATTTTTCAAATAAGTATATATAACTTGTATAACAAAATATTAAAAAAGGAAATTATTCTACAAATTAATCATTAAGTTCTCCAGGAGTTCAGTAAAATCCTTTAAATTTCTCATGTAGCATAACAAAAATGGATATTGAGGGGGAAAAAATCTCAATCTAAGGTTGTCTACCTTAAATCAATCTAATTTCTAAATTCAACTAAAACATCCACTCCACTCATCCACTGCCTCTGCTTTTCATTTCTACTCAAATTGTTTGCACCTTTAGTAATTCACTGACCTTGGAACCGCTTTCTTCCGATACTTCTCCCTCATTGGTTTGCATGGGAACAGACTCTGTGCAAAACTCTGCAGAAACACACAAATACTGCCTAAAAGAGATAGGAAGAGAAAAACACACAAGGAATTCAGTTCAGACATTTGTTTCTTCAAAGATCAGACTGAAATTCTGTTACTGATACTGTGGACTGTGAAGTACAACCTTAACGTGTGTGTGTGTGTGTGTGTGTGTGTGTGTGTGTGTGTGTGTACATCTGTATGTCTATACACATATATCTGAAGTAGAGAGGGAATTTTCCTCACCTTGAGGGAGGATAGCTAGCAAAAGTTTAAGACATTGGAGTATTGAACAGTACTAGATAATTTTCTTTTTATTTGACTTTTGGAAGAAGTGATAGTGAAAATCTTCAGTAACTCATACAGTACAAATGCTGACCTGTCAGAAAGGATGTCTACCTAAGTAAAGCACTGAACCAACTGTTATGCGGTAGCCAGTTGTACTGCCTGGATATTAAGCTAGACTATTAAAATTGGCTGGGTTTCTTGGGTTTATAACTTACATTCAACACTTGTGATATTTTATGACTGAAATTAAGGTGTACTCTGATTGATCCTACTTGTTTTAGTTTAAGAAATTTGCTTAATAAACTAAATGTCAGTTAATTTATTTTTATAAGAGAACAGGCTATTCATAGGGCATGACAATAAAAAGTAATTCCCCTCCAAGAATAAAATGAGTCAAGTGAAAGTTTATTAAAATTTCATAAATTAAAATATACCAAAATAACTATAATTTTATGCAACATTCAAATTAGTTCATTAAATAAGTAAGTACTGAGTAATCATTACTCAAAACTGACACAAAAATCTCTATTATACATGCAGGTACAAATATTTTTAAATGTTTCAAATGCTTTAAAAGGCTCATAGCGATAAAATATAAAAGCTAAAAAGATGCTTCATGGTGTACTTTTTGTGTGTGCAGAGAAATCTCTTTATGGGTGTAGCAGCTTGGGGGGCTGGCGATCTGGCTCTGGTGCAGGCTTCTCACTAACCAGCCACAAGACCTGAGGCCAAAAAGACAGTTCTGCCCGGCTGGCATGACTCCGTGTTTGAGCGAAGACCTATGAACCAGGAGGTCACGATTCCCAGTCAGGACACATGCTTGGGTCGGGAACTTGATCCCCAGTGGGGGGTGTGCAAGAGGCAGCCAATTAATGATTCTCGCTCATCACTGATATTTCTATCTCTCTCTCCCTCTCCCTCCCTTCTATGAAATAAAAAAATAAAATAAAAAATAAAAAGACAGTTCTGGGAATCTTGTTTCCTCATCAGCTGGGTGGGAAAAGGGAATCAAAATATCTACTATGCTCACCTAATGAGGATTTTGGGGAACTAATGCGTATTTATCTGATGTAAAACGTAAAACTGGTACAGTGGAAGCTCTCTCAGTCACCTCCTATTCATTCCTTCCAGATGAACTGACATTGCCCATTCCCTCTGTAAAACATGACTGATGCTCACAGCAAGTGAAACAGAATTTCTTTAGTTGGTTTCGACCCTCACCTGTTTATGACACTTGTGCAAAAAACATAATTGCTCTTTCTATGAAAATTAAATGGATAGCACTGGAAAAATTCAATTAACATATCTAGAAAGATTTGGTATGCAAATTACTTCAAAATGTCTTTAAGTTTGAATGCTACTTTACTGAAATAGAGATTGTGTTTCCCAGATGAGGCATTATAGGCAGAGCTGACCAAGAAAGGGACCCGACTCTCTCAGTGCCATTTCCATCTGAATGTGCTGGGAAAAGGAATGCTGCTTCCCTCTCCCAAGGTTCACTCCTGGCTCCTCTCCACCTCCACACACACTACCCCAGAGGAGGCACAGGATCTCATCTGAAAGGTGAGTTCAGAGGGAGAAACAAGATATGTGATCTCTCTCTTCCTTTTGGAAGCCAGCGTCCCCAGGGAGCACGCATTCTCTTCTCCTGTCCCTATCAATGCAGGCCCCTCACAATTACCTGCGAATAGGCAAGTCTGAAGAATTCTGAGGTTCAGTGTTAAGAAGTTCACTTGCCTGCAGATTTAAGCTGAATTCTCCAATTTAGCTTTATTCAGAATAGAGATGATATTTTGGTCTCCCAAAAGCCTTTCTCTGATCTTATTTCTCAGCTGGTACAGAACTCAGCCAAGGGAAAATGAGAGTGCTGTTTATTGGGTATCTCTCAAACCCTAACACCTACCGCATGAGATTAGTCTTGATAAACAGACATGAAGTAAAATTTGGGGAGTGATATACATGTGGAATTTCTGAGGCTTCTGTTGGGGCCATGACTTAGGGCCTTGGTCTTTACTGAGGGGGGGGCAAAGTGTTGTGACCCTGAAGAGGTTTTACATTAGGCCACATGAGCTTTTACAGTTGTACACTAGCTTTTAATTACTGAGGCCAAATTAGAAGTTTATAAACCATAGGCCACACTGTATTCTGACTTTAGTGGTGACTGTAGTTATGGCAACTCTGTCTTCAGGTAGTGGCAGTTTCTATAGAGACAGGCTGTGTGTAGCGGTACATAAAGCCTTAGCGAAGGCTTGGGGGCTTTGCTGGCCTCAGCAAAGAAACAAGCCACTCTCTGCCATGGCAGTAGTACTGAAAGCTCACCTAAATGTCAGATGCACAAGTGGTCTCAGCATACACTGGCTACTCTGGCCTAGCAAGCAAATGCCAGCTGTGCTGGCCTCAGCAAAGGGAATAGGGCATTAGCAGGCCTGGTAGCTTCAAAGCACAGAAGGCTGACCTTGAATTATGCAGACACAGCTTTTCCTAAGTAGACATGGCTGAGATAAAGATTATTAGACTTTTGGAAAAAAGACTTTCTTCATACAGGCCTTTTATATATTAGTGAGTAGAACAATTATTTGATGCATATAAGCTGCAAGGCAACTAAATTTAAAATAGTACATGGGTTACAAAACCAGTGAACTTCTAGGTTTAAATTGTTTGTGCTAGGCTTACATGGGCAATTCAAAGGGGGAAATTCAAAGAGGTTTCTCACAATACTTCACAGAAGGAGGGAAGGAAAGAAGAGAGGGAGGGAGGAAGAGCAGAGGCAGACAGGGAGGGAGGGAACTAATAGAGGAAAACTGGTAACTGGGGCGCCATCTACATTTTGCAAGGAGGAGGTGATATTTCAAATAGTAATCTTTAAAAGAGAAAACATGTGCATTGGTTGTTTTTTCCCCCAGATATGATAAAGACAGTTCCACATTTAACCTCTTGCTGGCAGATTGTTCCTCCAAATGGTGGCAGTGTCCAAGTCATATATTCTGGACGCTGGCATGGACTAATGGTACTTGGTGAGGCTCAAACCAAGAGAACCTCGCCCATTCCCCGCTCCCTCAGATACCAATGTGTCTCTGCTACAATCTTTGGCAAGACTGAGTATTGCATTCAGGGAACGTAACTTTATCTGCTCTTGGGCTGGAGGTAGGCTTACTTTTTTAATTTGCTGGTGGTGGGGACAGTGCTGAAATGATTTTGTTTAGCCTTGGAGTTCACATAATTTGTATACCATTCTGATCCATTTTAGAATCTTCTGGGGACAGAATCTATTGATGGTCCCAAGAGAACAGTGATTGGTAGTGGGGTGGTGTCCTCATGAAAGTGAGAGTAGGATGGTCCTGAGACCATCCCTGACCAAAAGGGGACCGCACACCCCAGCTGACCGACATTCACTGTGTAAGAGACAAAAGCTGGTGAGTGTTAGAGGAGAAAAACTTCGTCCTCACTCTTGATGCTCCCTCCACATAGGGCAGTATCAGTTTGTTTGCTATTTCCGGTCTTATCATATCCTTGACTCCTGCTGTAAGCCTAGAGGGGGAAACCGAGCTTGCAGAGTCCCCCGCTTCTCTCCCCTTTCCCTTGGGGGTACCTACTGTGCTCTGCTCCTTTCTTCCTTCTAGGAGGTGGTCTATCCCAGAGTAGTGCTGCTGGGTGAGAAAACCCAAGTTCTGGAGTTCAAAGATGAGCCAGTTCTCTCATGTCAACTTAAAATAAAAGTGAAATTTTGTTCTCTGCCTGTCTTACTCCCTCGTCGTCTATTTCCATTGTTTTAGAATGTAGACAGGAAGCAGAATATTAGTTAGTGGGTTCCTTTCAATTCTAACTTGGTGGCTGAATATGGTTGGTGCCTGTGGGGATGGTGCTGAACCTTCACTCAGGCAAACCGTCTTTCCATTCTCTCCATACATTTCCATCCTTCTATTCAGTCATTTTGTATTTCTAAAAATCCTTCCTGATTAACACCATATAATCTGCCTACTTACTATATTTCATACCGATACCTATCTTTTTAATTTGTCCTTTATTTAATTTGCTTGCTCTCATTCTCTTGTTGTTTTGAAATACCGTTAATATTTTTAATGTGTTTCTTGAAAAAGTCTTGATGACATTCTTATTTGAAGGAATAGCTTATAGTTGTGTCTAAGGTTCTAGGTCAGTTTTACTGTCCTTTTGACAAAATGGAAGGAGAATCAGGCAATGCAGAAGTATATGGTTAAGCTAGGGGTTCCACGTGGGAAGTGACATAGGGTCCAGTGTATCGGTGCTAACAGAGTGATGAAAAAGCCATGACAAAGTCCACTTATGTGAACATTAACTGGAGGGGTGAACAAGTGGTGGTAAAGCTGTCAAAAATGACGTGCCAACATAAGCACTTCATTTCTGCTTCAGCACATCATTTCACCTCAGAGCTGTCATCAATTTGCCATACACAGTAAGTGACAGATAGTTGTGACCTGGCACAGTGCTTCAGCACACACAGGACAGGACTCAACAAATGGTAATGACCAAATATGAGTAATGTCATACAGCATCTGTGCTAGGCCTCCTCTAAAAGCTGGCAGATACGCTAATATTTTCAAAGTCTTCCAGGATCCAGCCCTCACCTGTCTCTCCAGCGTCACTAACCAGGCCTTTTTGTTCCTTTTGTTCCAACCATACTGAGCTACTTATAGCTTCACAAATATGTCAGGTTGTTTCAGGTGTCCACGGCTTTATTCATATTACTCCCTATGCCCTTTCCTCCCGATACTCCTCACGAAGACACAGCTTTTAGAAAGGATTTCCTGGTCCATCTCTAGGTAGAGCTGATGATTTCTTCTTCAGTGTCCCCAGTGGATCTTATTTGAACCCTGTTATAGGATCTGCAACTTTATTGGATTTATTTGCTTGCATAAATGACTTTCCTATTAGACTGTTAACCTTTTAGTACCATACACTATATCTCATTAAACTCTATAGTCACAGTTTACTTAAAACTGTGTACCTGTATTTAATGGGAATTCAATAAATTTCCATGTAGGAATGACTGGATTAATCAACTAAAGTCCTTTTCACTTAAACTGCAATAGATGGCAATTCAATAAATATTTACTGGGTCCCAACCACATGCCAGATGGTGCTAGGCTAATGTGGTGTAGTACAATAAGCACTGGTTTTGAACAGGCAAAATCATTATTCTTTGACACGTACTAGCTGTGTAATCTTGAGCAAGTTACTTAGCTTTTTAATCTTCATTATTTTTACCTATAAAACTGGTCAGGAGGTAGTGTTATAAGGATTAAATAATATATTCATACCACTGAACAAGGTGTCTAGGAGCAGCCAACAGGCACTAAAAAAACAGTTCCTTTCCAAGAAGTTTCAAAGGGTTTATAGACTAGTAAAGGAGACATAATACAAATAAACAACTCTAATGTAAAATAATGAATGCTTTGTTACTGCAATAATGACAGGTGCTCCTAGAACACGGATGAAAAAGAAAACCTGCCAAGAGAGTCCAGAGGGGACAGTAGAAAAGATACAAGAAGGAAGAGAGAAGTTGCATTCTCCCCTCTTCCAAACTCTAAGCAAAGAGCAAAGTATCAACCAAGGCACAAAGTTGTGAAAAAGAACTAACTATCTGGGAAAAAGAAAAAGGCTTATAGATAGGGGTTCAGTAAGAAAGAAGCCAGAAATGTTGATTGCAACTAAGTTTTGAAAGGGGTTTGTAGGGTGACATCTGTAGCAACTGGGAGCCATGAGAGCTGTTTAAGCAAAGGACCGACATGAGTGAATCTATCATTTAGAAAGCTGACTCGGGTAGTAATGTGGACTACAGACTGCAGCAGGGACAGAGTAGGGGCAGAGAAGCTAGGAATACACTTGCATAAAACTGTAGAATTGCTAAATCCTAGTGACAAATTCCAGCTTTATTAAACGACGAGGCACAAAATATCAGTAGCAACCTAATTACAAATGCTTTTTAAGGGGCTCTACCAATGAGAAATGCAAAGGGCTGGTGTGATGAACACTTTAAATACCCTTCTGTAAGAACTCTGGAAACAAGTAATGATGCCAAAATGTACTTTTCTTCTTATTAAGATGAAGACTCTCCCATTCAATGCTACTAGTAATACTGGGTAAAAAGAAATTTTAAAAACTTACCTTTGACAGTATCCTGGGGCAACACACGCCCGTGAAGATGAATCTAGACTACATTCAGTGCAAAAACCAAAACCCTGAAAAGAGAGAAAAAATCACAATAAGCCACACACTCATAGCAAGATGCCATGGCAAGTGGCGGAACTAAGTTCAGAATTCAGGCAGCCTAGTACCAATCCAGGCTTCTCCATCTACCACAGTGGTTTCCCAATGTGGGGCACATGCCCCATAGGGGGACAATTTGATTTTTAAGGGGGACAATTCGAGAATGAGTTATTAACAGTGAATTTTTTGCATTTCTTATGGTTCTGGGGCCTCATATACAGTATGTAAATATATACTGTGACATATTTAAGCATTTCAGTTCTCTATTATGTTTTAAAATGTTATTCGCTATTTTTTCATATCACTTCATATTATTTTTTAAACAATTTCTTTTTTTTTTTTTTTTTTTACAAAACGAGGCCACGTTTATTGCCGAGAACGGGAGCGGGGCCGCCTTGGGGTTAAGGCCACGGCCGGTCCCTGTGCTGCCGGAACCGGGGCTTGGGCGGCTGGGTTCCCCGCCCCAGGCTCTGCAGAAAGTCTAAACAATTTCTTAGTGATTTCTTTCTTAGTACTTCAATTGTTCTTTTGTTCTTTTATTTTTCTCTTTCATGGATGCCATGCTTAGACCAAGTTAATGGCCTTTGAGGCTTCCTCCATGTTAATAAGAGTTCACGCTTTTTTTTTTTTTTTTAATATATTTTATTGATCTTTTACAGAGAGGAAGGGAGAGGGATAGAGAGCCAGAAACATCGATGAGAGAGAAACATCGATCAGCTGCCTCCTGCACACTCCCTACTGGGGATGTGCCCGCAACCCAGGTACATGTCCTTGACCGGAATCGAACCTGGGACCCTTCAGTCCGCAGGCTGACACTCTATCCACTGAGCCAAACCGGTTAGGGCGAGTTCGCTTTTTGAATAATAAGAATTAAATGTTACGGGGGGGCATCAGGATTTAAGAGATGCTTAGGTGGGGCATGGCCAAAAAGAGGTTTGGAACCACTGATCTACCAGCTCATAGCCTAACCTCTGAAATCTCAGCTTCCTCATTCAACACTGGAAACAGTAACAGCATCTTTCTCAGAGGGTTCTTTGGAAGTTCAAATAAAATATGTGTAAAACACTTAGTACAGGGCAGCACCAACCACATGCTCAATAAAGGCAAGTGGTTATTAAGAATATGAACTGAAATATGAAATACTTGCTGAAGAAACATTAAAACCTGTATTATACTTTTATTATTTATTTTACCCTTACGTCCTACCAGAAAAATAGCAAATTACCTTTTCAACTTCTCCATTTCATGTGAGGATGTCTCAAAATCACTTAGGATTTAATACTGCATCCCAAATTGCCCTCTTCATTCCCTACCCAGACCGCATTCTCCATATCTCCACTGTCTCAAACAAGACGCCATCCTCCCTCCACCCAGCTGCTGGTCAGAACCTCAGATTCATCTTGGATTTCCCACTCTACCCCAGTCCTCTCATAGCCACCAGCAAGTCCTGTCATTTCTGCTTTCACAATATGTATCTCTGATCTACCCACAATTCTTCATTTTCATTGCCATCATCATTTCTCACTTGTGAAGGCCTCCTAGCTGGCCTCCTGGAGCCTATTCTTGCTCCTCCCCAATCCATTCCCAAAAAATGGCTGGAATGGCCTCTTAAAAATCAAATCAGATCATAGCAAGATGCTAACAAATGCTGTGAAATGTTTTTTCATTTCAAGATGAAATGTCTCTTAATATATATGAAATACATATTTACATACCTGCGCATATACAAATACATCAAAATATATGAAATGACAGACATTTATTAGTAGACATTTACAGACCTCAAGCCAGTCACTTCATTTTACAACGGCAAAAACGAACATCAGAAGGATATTCTGCTCAAGGTTGGACCTCTGTGTGTGTGTATAGGTGGGCAAAACAATGCCAGACAAGACTGGCAGAAATATATCTGCGATGAGCATCCACACTGTGCCAGCTTGTCACTGTTTGGAAGTCGGCCCCTTAGTTTCACAATCAATGTTTCTGTCCAAGAAAGTGAATTCCATTCCCCATGGCTACAGACTGTAAATTACAGCTTTAGTCCCACATTATGTCACAATGTTTGAGGTGGTACTTCAGTGTAACTTGAAAACATCTGCTGCCCCTTATCTGCCATCACCTTATGTTACCTTGTTTAAGTGTTTGAATAAACAAATCTTAGATGGAATTGTGCTGTGTAATGAGTATTAGTAATACTTTAATTACTACTATTATCCCTATCTTCCTACTATACACACCACTGTCCCAGCGATCTCTAAAAAGCAAATTTGATCTCTAAATAAATCACTGCTAAAATTCACTCAAGAGCTACCCATTACTTTTGGGGTAAAATTCAAGATCTCTCTTAACTGCATCATCACTTCACATTCTATTCACATGGACTGCTATTGGTTTCCTTGCCCACATGATTTCCTTGCACTGATGTCTCTGAGGACCTTTTGCCTAATTCCCTTCAACTGCTCTCTTGAGATCTGCCTCGGGTGTTGTTTTGAAGTTTTCTATACCCTTCCTGGCTCCACTAAGTGTTCCTCCTCTGAGGTATACCATATAATATTGGTAATATCCATGGGTCTATTTCCTTTACTCAAGACAACAAGATCTATGTCTTACACATCTTTGAATTTGGCATCAGGTAGCAGTTTAATAAACATAAACTGAACTAAATCCTGACATGATCCCTATACCCCAGTCCTTCAACATAGATGCTTCCCCATTAAATAAAAGGCACTGGGGAAAATGGAAGCAGCCAGCTGCAACTTCCAAGATGGGTTTGGCCCTCACGGAGAATGTGAGCTATGCAGTTATGTGCGACCCTCCAGTACCTCAGAGACAGACTAGATTCTTTAATTTATTGTCAACTATAAACCATCAAGATGACAATGACTAATTTTCAGTTCTCTATTCTGATTAGTTTCTGCCCAGGACTGCTTCTCTAGACTTATCAGTAGTCTAAACTCCATACCAACTTCATAAAGTAGCTCATAATTACATATCTTGTTAACAGACAAGCTTAGGACACAGTGGCCAGCTCAGTCCTTTGCCTGCTTGGCAGCTGGTCCCAGACACTGACATTCAGTGAGAATAAAGGAGGTAAAGCAGTGGAGAGGCAGGCAAGGGAAACTGGGCAGTGTTCCAAGTACTCTGGAAACCAGCTTCATTACTCTCCACAGGGCTGTGAACCTGTGTATCAGATGGACTCATACTCAATATAAACATAAAATTTAATTCTAAAATCAACATTTGAAATGATCCAGTTGAAGTTATCTAAAGCACTACTTTCCTTCTAAGGTATGAGTAATAGCAAATTCCTTCAAAATATCAGTTTGAAATGTTCAGGACTATATACTGTAATCCTACTATCTGACCATGTACAGCCGCAGCAGTAAACTATGTGAACCACTCCAGTTCTCTCTCTTCTCTTGCAGAATAACCAGGTTGGCCTTGGAATTTACACAGGGGTAGGGAAGGCTCAGTGGATCTTGGACTAAATCAACCCCCGGGACCAACTAAACTGCAAGGAGATTTCAAGAGTTCCTCCACAGCCAAGCACATAACTAAACTCACAGAATGTAATTAAAACTGCATCTTTCCTAGGGAATATGGCAAGTTTAAAAATACATATTCAAAAAACTATATTTATTAATATCGCTTCTGATATGGTAGGATTTAATTTTCAAACTTGATTACTTAACATAATTCTTTTAAATTTAATTTTGATTCTCATATCAAAAAACTCAAACAACATAGATAAGGCTATCTTCTCTCCCCCAACCTCAGTGTTCCCAAGACTCACCACTATTTATCTGTTTGACATCTAGCATAATACTTGGGGTTGCAGACTGTTAAGAATATGCTATAAACTTTTAACTGAGTCACTAATAACACTGCAAACCCAGGCTGCCTATGTCATTGGCAACTGGCCTAACTTCAAGCATGACGTCAGGAAAAGATGTGTTAAGTGAAGCAACAGATGTGCGGGAGGAACAAAACACCAGCAAGGAGGCTGGGGATGTGTTCCCAGGAGGCGAGCGTGGACCAGGAGGATACCACAAGTCCAGCTCTGTAAACGGCATACCCTGCTCAAGTGGGCAAGAAGCAGCCTATTTAATTAAGTAACACACATAATAATAACAAACGCTTGAGGGAGCATTGCTATAGGTAAATGGGTTTATTCGGCCACCAATACACAAGTGACTATTGTTCCATGCGCTTTGCAGTTTCAAGTCACTTCTACTTCAGTTTGACACTTTGGAAATTCTATAAAAATGTACAAGTCTGTCCATTCCTAAAATCAGCCCCTTTAATCTGTAATCTCCTCGAGCTTTTGTGTCCTCTCTCCCCCCTTTCCTCTCCCAGTCAAGCTTTTATAAAAAGAAAATGTTATTTGTGGTCTCAATGTCCTTCTCTCTCTCATTCACTTATTAATCATTGCAATTTGATTTCTTTCTCTGTCAGTCCCAGTTGCCAAATACAATGAATATTATTCATTGGTTTTGCTTTAACCTGGGCATTTAAAAATCAGAGAGCTGAAACTCTGTCCTTTGGAAGCTCCTTTCCTATCTGGCAATTAAGGATAATGCAGATAGATCCAGCCACTGGGCCAGGGGCACCTTCTTTTAGTTCCTGGTCTCTTGGCTGTGCCTGGGTTCTCCTGCCTCACTGGATTTGTAGCCAGCCCAAGGCCTTTGTCAATACTGTTGATTTTCAGATTCCCATCTTGGACAGGCTGGGGCTGGGTGAGGAGTTGCTGCTTCTGTATGTGGGAGTTGGGGAGACAGGGATTGTGGTGAGAGAACCAAACTCAATTCCTAGCTTCAAAGATTGAGCCTAGGTCTGATGCCCAAACTGACATGGAACATGTTTAGCCCCTTTACCACACAGAAGGAGCCAAATGCATTACTTTTGCACCTCTTAGACCATTTCTTACCAGTTTCTTTTACTGGATAGTCTTTCTCTACTTGTCCTTTCATTACTGGTATATTCCTCAGGAGTTCATCCTTTCCTCTTTTTTTCCCCTTTATTGATTAAGGTATTACATATGTGTCCTTCTCCCCCTATTGCCCCCCATCCCCCTGCTCATGCTCTCACCCCACCCCCTAGTGTCTATGCCCATTGGTTATACTTATATGCATGCATACAAGTCCTTTGGTTGATCTCTACCCCTTCCCCCTACCTATAGGTGATGTGGATGGATCCTTCCTCTGAGTTAGCAACTGAACTTGGTATATATTTCCACTAGGCTTGTGTATGTTGTTTATACTACTAGGTTATAAGTTTGCTGAACACAGGATCTAAGTCTGATTTATCAATGCATGACCATCATTTAAAACAGTACTAATACAAAGGACATCCCAATAAATTTTTATGGAATAAACACAGTTACTTTGCAGGGGAAAAATAAAGTCAACTCAATATAATATTCTTAGTTTACTCAAATAACGATGCTGCTTATAAATTACAATATTTTATCCAGGACCACAGTACAAACTTCATTTCATTCATTCAGTGAATGAGCCACCTGCTAGGTATCATGCTCTATTCTAGGAACACCATGGTGAAATAATGCTTGGGTCTCAAGGCAGTATGTTACTTGTATGGGACCCTCAGACTTCCAGGGAGAAGCTGTGAAGGAAATTTTGGGATTAACAGCAGGACCTTGTCATAAAACTGTTAAATTCATTCTTATATCTTGTAAATCAGAGAGCATTGCTTAAAAAAAACATAATCTGCAGCAGGGATGAAGAAAAGGCATGTGCCTCCCCTTCAGCTACTAAGCTACTAATCTAGTTTGGTCAGTTAACTAATGCCCTCTAGCTTAGTCCAAGACAACTTGTCAATTCCTTAACAGAAAGGACGTTGGAAAATAAGGCTAACTTCTGAAGACCTACACACAACTGGAGGTGGGGGCAGGGAATAACAGTTGCCTGCTACAAGAACAGCAGAGACGGCCGGCGAGGCGGGCTACTGAAACAGCAGATTCAACTCAACCAACTTTACTGAATGCTTACTAAGGGCCCAGCACTATGCTCGGTGTTTTCAGAGCAAGGGCCTATGGCCAGTTTTACAGCAATTGCTGGTCACATAAAAATTAAACAGATTAACATACTCAGCTTTTATAGCCAATTTATTGGCAATTTATGATTAAAAAGCTTTTAATCCTTTTCCATATTGTATGTTGATTTTATGTAGTGTTGTTTTTAATCAAGTAGCTATTTCTCTTAAGGCTATTCAAAAAATTGTAAATGCGTATTGGTTCTTCAATAAACCAATGAGTTTGGGAAATTTTAATATTGATACTGAAGATAATAATAATCATCATTACCAACTGTTTATGCTGTGCATAGCAATATGAATCATGGATGTCTCAAAAGCTCTCATTTAAGATATCCCTGTCCTCAGAAGTCTTATACTCTTGATAAGAAGAAGAAAACTAGCACAGGAAGCAATTCCACAAAAACTATGCGCTAAATTGTGTGGCACAGAAGTTTCGGGAATGCAGTAAAAACAATGGGCTACCAGTGATGGCGAACCTTTTGAGCTCGGCGTGTCAGCATTTTGAAAAACCCTAACTTAACTCTGGTGCTGTGTCACATACAGAAATTTTTTGATATTTGCAACCATAGTAAAACAAAGACTTATATTTTTGCTATTTATTTTATATACTTAAATGCCATTTAACAAAGAAAAATCAACCAAAAAAATGAGTTTGCGTGTCAGATGTCATAGGTTCGCCACCACTGGGCTAGACGATCTATGCAGCCCTCACGGAAACCAGGATTTCATCTGGAATTGACAGGATTTAAACAGTGATGCTCAAACCCTTTTTGGCCTCAGGGTCTCTTTAGATTCTTAAAAATTATTAAGGACCCTAAAGAGCTTTAGTTTATTTAGCTCATAACTGTCAATATTCACCATATTAAAAATTAAACTATGAAAAAATTAAAAGATTTATTCCTAAATATTCATTTAAAAATACAGCCCTAGCCAGTTTGGCTCAGTGGATAGAGCCTCGCTGCTTGCAGACTGAAGGGTCCCAGGTTCGATTCCAGTCAAGGGCACATGTCCAGGTTACGGGCTAGATCCCCGGTGGGGGGCGTGCAGGAGGCAGCCAATCAATGATTCTCTCTCATCATTGATGTTTCTCTCTCTCTCTCCCTCTCCCTTTCTCTCTGAAATCAATAAAAACATATTTTAAAAAAACACAAATAAACATTTTAAAATTAAAAATATTTTAAAAGATAAAAATTTGAGAAAAGTGCCATTGTTTTACATTTTTGCAAATATCTAGCTGAAGAGACAACAGCTGGATCTTAATTTCTGCTTTTGCATTCAATCTTTTGTAGTCTCATATGTCGTGTAGCATCTGGAAAACTCGACAATCATGAGAAAATGAGTTTAAAAGGCAAATATCACTCTAGTATTAATAAAATAGTTGTGACCTCATAGACCCCCTGAAAGGGTCTGGATGGCAGGTGGGGAGGAGTCCTCAGACCACACTTTGGCTCATTAATTTTCAAAGAGAAAGAATGGTATAAGCAAGGGCTGGGCAGGAAGGAAGTGGGTGGCTTGAGAGCCATAACTTCCATGTACTCACACTTATTCCTAATATCTTGGCTATAACCAAGCTCCCCTCCATTGTGAACCACAGAAACAGAAATGGCAGGGCAAGGTGGGGTTCCGGTGACAGTGGGACAAGGAGCCTCTCCCTCACCATGTGTTGTGCGCTTCCCCTGGCAACATTCCCTGGAGGCCACGTCAGGTTTTCCTCTCTGGCACCTACACTGTGCTCTCCTTCTCGAAGCTGTAAATGGTTCACAAGAAACTGCCTTCCCATGGCTTCCCGAGGCTGTGTTTTAATAAATGAAAATCATCTCTTGCTACAGTCTCAAATTCTTCAGACGTTTCTTGATCTGGCTGTCTTAAAAAAGCAAAGTTAACATCAGCCACGTAGCCAGTGTTCCCTTGCCAATAATCATGTGAGTTTGCTCTTCCATTCGCATGCATCTTGTGCACTGTAAAAACAGTTCCTGGAGCATCATATGTCATGGATCTAGTTGCCATAAACTGAAAACATTTTCTTCATATTTTGTGGCACAAACTAAAAGCATTCTGGATGTGATTTGCACACAGTCCATCTCTAGCCAAAAAAGAGGTTTAAATATATGGAAAGACAGAGAAAGGGAGGCAGCTATTACCATTGTTAAACTGTTTTTTATCAACAAAGTCAATGTTCAATAGTGGATGCTTTTTAATTTGAAAATTTACCATGATTAAAGTTCTAAAATTATCCTGCAAGTAGTACAATTGTTTATTTTATGTAGCAAGTTTTAAGTTGTCGAACAGTATTTTATAGTTAAGAGAAACACTGATGAAACAAGCTTCTCTTTTGATCTCAAATTTTTTTAAAAAATAGAAAAAACTATGAATCTATATATTTTTCAGTCTTTTTAATTTTATTTTTGTAGTAAACATTTATTAAGGCCTCTTCAGAGAACAGATCAATTTGAAGTCAAAGTGAAACTAAAACTTTGGAAGAGATTTCTGCTCTGCGAATGGTAAACTATGTAATTCAGACCAATCAATACTGAGGACAGCCAGAAAATCTGGGCAAAATGTAAAAAATATCTTGAAGGCGGAGGAGTACTAAGTTAATTAAGAATTACCATGCAAAAAAATCAATTCCAGGTGAACTATACACCAAATGTGAAAAGTAAATAATAAAGCTTTTAGAAGATAATATGGAATAATGTTTCCATAACCTAGGGGTAGGGAAGGATCTCCTACACAGGATACAAAAAGCACCTATTATCAAAAAAGAAATAAATATTACACAAAAATTCAGAATTTTTGTTCATCAAAAGACATCCTCAAGAAAGTAAAAAAGCAGGGCACATAAAAACAATCAAGGGCTCATATTCAAAACAGTAAAGAGTTCTAACAAGTTTTTTTTTTTAAAAAAAGGCAGGTAACTCAATAGAAAAATGGGCAAGAGGTTCAATGAGGATCATCATCAAACAAAAAATTATATTATCTAAATGGTCAATAAACATATGAAAAGGTGTCTAGCCTCAACAGTGAGGAAAATACAAAAGAAAATCATAATGGAAAATACCAAAAAACAATCATAATTATATATATCATTATATACCAGAATGACTACAAACTTTAAGATCTGAGAATAAGTATTGTCAAGGATATGGAACAATCAGACTTCTCATATACTACTTGTGTGAAAATGTCAACTGCTACATCCATTTTGGAATGCGGTCTGGCTTTACTGTTCTAAAGTTAAACACAGACATACTTCATGATCCAGCAATTCCACCCCCAGGTATCTGCCGGGAGCCGGTCCATCCTTGCTGTTTCAAGGGACCTGGCATATATGGCATACTGTTCTTAATATGTTTGCTTACCTTCTTGGCACTATGTGTTTTAACCAAGTCACCTCTCTGAGAAAGGTTGTTTCCCCAGGTAGGGATTTTCCCCTGAAGTTAGGGAGGGAATAAAACCTCTTAACTAAGTGCCAGGCGGGTAATTAATCACTTTAACTATGAACAATCATGCTTAAGCTACATAATCTTTACTCCTTGGAATGGAGATAAGAAACGCCCTAACCTTTGGAATAGAGATTGATAGGATTGGAATCAACTGGTATAAATACAGATGTAACAAGACAACAGGATACAGAACCTAGACACAGAACCTACACAGAACCTAGAGACAGAAGAACTTCTCTGGAGAGAACATGGCAAAAGATCCTGGACAGAAACTGGACACAGAACCTGGAGACAGAACCTAGCAAGAGAACACGGCAGGAGAACCTGGACAGAAACTGGAGACAGAATCTGGATAGAACATGGCAAGAGAACCTGACTAGAACCTGGCGACTGAACCTGGCTGGAGAACCTAGACAGAACCTGGCTGGAGGACCTAGCAAGGGAACATGGCTACAGAACCTAGCTGGAGAACCTGGAGAACCTGGCTGGAGAACCTAGCAAGAGAACATGGACACAGAATCTGGCTGGAGATCCTAACCAGAACTTGGCTGGAGATCCTAACCAGAACTTGGCTAGAGATCCGGGCTAGGCTGCTGATCAACTGAACGCTGTCTCCGTGTCATTCCTTCTTCGCTGACTCCTTCCACACCTTTGGGGACCCCTGGACCTGCTGGGGTTGGACCCCAGCAGGTATCTACCCAACAGAATTCATGCACATGTGCACAAAAAGACATATATAAAAATATTCAGAGCAGCATTATTCAAAATAGCCCCTAACTGGGAATAACCCAAATATTCTCATAGAACAGATAAATACATTCTGGCATATTCACAAAATGGAATACCATCTATATATATAAAAGCCTAAGTGACTGTTAGGACCGAACTACCGGTCCACCAGTCGCTATGATGCGCACTGACCACCAGGGGGCAGATGCTCAATGCAGGAGCTGCCCCTGGTGTTCAGTGCGCTCCCACAGCCAAACTCCTACGGCCAGCCAACCTCCCCCAGTCCCTCCCCCCAGCTGGCAAACCTTCCATGGTCCCTCCCCCCGTCCGGCAGGCCCTGTCTGGTGGCCAGCGGCCGGCCCAGCCTTGATTGGGACTGAGCAAGATGGCCTCGATAGGCCCTGATTGCCGGCCAGGCCTAGGGACTCCACCCGTGCATGAATTTCGTGCACCGGGCCTCTAGTACAGTAATAAAAAAGAAACAACAGCTACACACAACAACATGGGATGGATTTTGCAAACCTAATGACCAGGTTATATAAATAGCATGTGAATCTGTGTTCAAAATCAGCCAAACTATAATGTTTAGAAGTATATGGGTGGTAAAAGCAGAAAGGGAAGGGACAGACTATAACTAGCAAAGATCACTAAGAAGGGGGGGGCTGCTGGCTCCCAGGAACATCCTATTTCTTGATCACAGTGGTGGTTATTTTAAAATAATTCATTAAGTTTTACATTTGTATATTAGGCACTTTTCTAGTCGTGTGATATGTTTTACAAGAAAAAGAATGAAAGCCTAAAAACGAACAAAATGAATACTAAGGGGAAAGCGGTATCTTTGGTATAACTTTAAAACTTGGAGTGTAGAACCCAAATTCTTTAGATGGCATTCCAGTCCTTCATTACTCAGCCTTGTCTTTCTAGTCTCATCTCTTGCCATCCACCTTTCTTCAAAAGTAGTCTCATACTCGCTCTCAACCCTGTGCCTTTTTACTTTTACTTGTGATATTTCTGTCTAGAAAACCATGTAGACATATCCCAATCATCCTTCTGCCAAAGTACAAAATGTCATTCAAGATACAGCCTGGATGCCAACTACTGTGAGAGGCCTTTTCAGGAGACACAGATTCTAGAGAGGCACACTGCCTAGTTCAAATTCCAGATCTGCCATTTACTGGTGGTGTGACCTTGATCAACTTACTAACCTTAGTTGTTGTAGCTTTCTCATCTGTAAAATAAGATAAAAATATGACCTGCCTAACTGGGTTGCTGTGAAGATGACATGAGTAAATATAAGCAAAGTACTTAGAACATGCCTGGGAGAGAGTAAACACTAGACATTAGCTATTATTATTATTAACTAGGTATAAGCTATTACTATTATCAATAATACACTGATAACCTCCTCCCTATCCACAAAGCCCCTTCACATTAGATATAGTCTTCCTCTGGGTTTCCATAGTTAATTTCTTAAGAGTTACACCTTTCAGGTCTCAATCCCTATCTAATACAGTGCTTGGCAGGTACTAGATGTTCAACAAGTATCTGTGGAACAAATAAGCTACAAAGACTCCAAACGTGGATCTATGCCACATATAAGAGTAGTCCTTTGGCGCTACCCTATCCTTGGTGCACACTACAAACTGGAAGCATAGTCTTGATGAGATTCCTACAGCAATTACCTCAGAATATGAGCGTAGACACCCTCTGGTAGCAGCAAATGAGAGACAAGTAATAATACTTGTCCTATCTAACTCTTGTAAGGCTATTGTGAGGCTCAAATGATAATGACTATGAAAATAAAATTTTAGAAGTGTGAATCTCTACTATATGAGATTTTATTACCTTAAAACAACAGGATTACTATGATATTGCTAGTCTGGAAAGCACTTTAAGGGATAATAAGAAATTAATATAATGTAAAAATGTAATCTGATATGGTCTAAGATAAGATTTTTATTTTCAGATTAAAATATTTTGCAATGAAATTTCCCGATTTTCTCATTTGGTTATTAATCATTTATGTAATGTCAGAACAAACATTTGTGTGTGTGAATGTTCACAGCAGCATTATTCATAATAGCCCCAAAGTGGAAACAACCCAAATGTCCATTAACTAGTGAACTGATAAAGTACGGTACACCTACCTAGTGGAAAACTGCTCAGCAATAAAAAGGAATGAACTACTGATACATATTACAACAAAGGTGAACCTCAAAAACATTACATTCAGTGAAAGAAGCCATCCCCCAAAGATCACATAGTGTATGACTCCATTTACATAAAATTTTAGAAAAGGCAAATCTATACAGAAAGTAAATCAGTGAATACCTAGGAATGGGAGTGGGAACAAGAATTGGCAGCAGCAAATGGGCAAACAAGGTCTCTCTGGGCTGGTGGAAATGGTCTCAATTTGGGTTGTGATGATGATTACATAACTGTGTAAATTTACTAAAATGTTTTAATTCTATTACCTAAAACGGGTGAATTTTATGGTATGTAAATTATACCTCAATAAAGTTGTTTTTTTAAAAACAAATATTAGGCACTCTTTTACAGCCAGCTGTAATTCCCACATCTTTAAAATCTCAATAACATATGGGATTAAATAATACAAGAAGAAAGCAATAAAAATCAGCTTTTAAAAATAAAAAAAATAGAAATGGCACATACTGAATATCTTAAAAAACCCAAAGCACCATCTCTATACTCATTTTTCAATCTAGGAGCAACAAACAATTACCTTGATAAACAGGCTTTCACTGTCATTTATTTCATCCCACCTGTACAAACATACACTGGCTTCAACTGCATTTATAATTGCAAACATGGATATTTGGCATGATGCCCTCCCTTTTTATGGGCAAACAGCAAGTATAAAAAAAAGGTAAATACAGAAAGCATAGTATATAATGAGATAAAAGAATAATGACCTATGTACAATAAATAGGATTTCTAAATAGGGTTTAAACTAACCCTTAGACACTGACAGTTCTTTATACAAATGTACTTCAT